CTTAGATTTGTGTACACTTATGTTCCGGTTTCATCCTGATGAAGTCGAATTCACCAACTCTCGATAAACAATAGGAAACAGGAATACCGAACCTTCCAACTGAAGGAAGCGCAGGGGGAGGGATTGGAACGAAACAATACCCCTATGGGCAGTTTGGTTGAGAATCTTTCTGACGCATTATGTCGTGCGGACATATCGTCGGTTTTCTTGTTTCGCCACAATTGCGATTGTACGCGTGACTCATTGTTCAGTGGTACTTGTCTCGCGTCACTATGGCAACTTGACAAGGTTATACTCATTTGATGCTATCATTTTTTAATCTGTGGAAGTCCTCAAAACAAGAACGATTCAGTGTTTCAAAGATATAGACAGACTTGATATTCGGTTATAATAGTGGTAGGGAAAAAAATTGGTATGCGTCATTGTAAAGCACGTTTTGATATTATCCATTGGAATGGCTCTGAAAAGAATATTAATGAAATCTCTGTTTTAGCCTCCCAAAGTTTCATCAAACCAACGAAGATATTTCTCAAGTACAGGTAGGCCTATCAGTCTTTTCATTTTACGTCAAATTAAAGAGGACGAGTCATAAAATAAAAATTAAAATAGTACACACATACAAAAGCTGTTGCCAGACTAAATCGACAAAATGCAAACCTAATATCAATCGTTTTCCCGAAGTAAAGAAAATTGTCATTACAGTTGAAAGTTCACCTCACACGTCTTTTAGGTAATATTGTTTCGTTTTATCAAGGAATAACCAAAGAAAATGAACAAGAGATGTAGAAAAGAAAGCCTTGAATTTCTATTTCTTTATTTAAAATCTCAGTGCTTAAAAAAAGTGACGACCTCAAAATTTTGAAAGAGCCCGTGTCGCTCCTTTTAATGTTATACCAATTTTATATATACATATATTTACATTTTTTACCGTTGAACAGTTTCCATGGGCCATCGCTACTTTTGTATCCACATCATTACGCTCCAATGAAAATGATTTTTCGGCCGTAATGAATGCATGCACATGCATGTATTGTACCTGCTCGGGGGTAGGTCTTACAATTTGTGACGGAACGGTGGTTGTCACATTAAAAACAACAAAAGTGTCAAAAAAAAGTGTTCCGATGCCAATACAAGGATGTGTAACACGTCGACGCTGTAAAAAGTATGACATTGACAATATTAGTGTAATTCAAAGATGTAACTCTGTAAGGACTTTCCCGATCAGTGCAGTCCAAGAGCAAGCTGGTGTCAGGTTTTTACTCCAGTAACTACTTTAGAAGGAGTGATTATTCAGAATATTCGGATTGAGAGAAAAAGGTGTTTGCAGGTTTATCAGATATGAAACAGACCATGTGGTCACTCAGTTATATCAACTGGCGAATACTTGAACTCGTGTTGTATCAAATATATCTGGCTCACTCAAATGCTCGATCACAATTCATTCCTATTAAAGATGACAGTTTTTGGAAAGGCAAATATTAAGAAATTATGCAGTGTCACCGAACGAATGAATTTCGTTCATTTGTTTGTGAGCTTCTTGCTCGTATCTTACATTTGGTATGATAAAACCCTAATACTCTGGTGCTTAAATTGCAACATGTTAAAGGGAATAAAGAAAAACATTTGAAATGAGCAAAACGTAAACGAACGATAAGATAGGCTTGTGACTTTTCGAAGACTTAAACACACTACGTTTGACAGGAAATTTAAATGAATCTGTTGCGCTTAGAAAATCAAATAACATGTCTGTACATGCCACTTAAACACTGTAACTGCTGCAATCACGTTTAAATATAGCTACGAATATTTAAGCGGTTTTCGCCTTAAGCTAGAAAATGCCATACATTAACTTTGACTCTACCCATATCCCAGCTGCTGTACTCAGTTTGCCATTGACAAAAAGTCATAACATTTTTTTCGCTTCTGCTACTAATGAATTTGTTTCATCACTATCCAAAATGAAGGCGAGAAGTCAAGAAAACCACGGTTAAATGATAAGCGAAAAAAAAGGGGATTTGCATTCATTTGTACCTACGGAGGAATTTTTCTCTGTTGGAAAAGAAATCGAACATATTTGGCATTGGCTATATTCTTGAGTATGCTCATCTAAACAAAGATGGCGTCTTGCTTCCTTCCGTCTTGAGACAATTCATAAAAAGTCATAACTGCCATAGTATATCACTGTACATTTTGCGCGTGAGTGGTAAGTTTGATATAGAAATAAGTGACCGAAAATGCTGCTGTCGATACACCCATGCATGCAATGTTACGACATCTTACGTGGATGGAATGGAATTTGACATTTTCTGCTTCCAGCTTGACTCGGCGTAGGTTCATTAAAATATCACGATGCTAAATCTTCCCTCCTCTGAGTTCATACAATTACATCTAACTTGGACATAGCCGAGGGACCGCCTAAGATCTGGCTAAGTTCTCACTTCTGCACAACGACAAAGAACATTAAGGTCAAACCTCTCCACTGCTGATTGTCCAGTTATTTCGTTTCTTATTGGCGTCTGGAGCTTTAGTTCTTGTTAATATAACATTTTCGTGACCACTCTGCAGATTGTATAATTCCGAAGACCTCCAGCTTTTCCATTTGGTCCGAAGGACAGAGCCCTCTTAATTATCAGGGAAAAGCCGAATTATAAAACAGAGACGATAACACACGCTCATTTGCTGTCCGGGTCTTTACATTGGTACATGGTTTTGGATTACCCAAGTACTGAACATAGCTTTAGCTTGGATATGGTGGAATTAAGTCATCAGGAAGCTTGCTGCCTGCAGAGCATTAAGGCAAGAGTTCTTAATCCCCATTGTTTTTTCCTCTCCAGTGATGACGGGGAGAGGTGAAGTGCTTTAAGAACTGGAAATGAAGGATGATAAATGATATTGGACGGCCGCAGTTAAAGAGTAATCCCGCGTGCACTCCAGTGTGTGAGCACCAATATAGTTTGGAACACATATCCTTCAGGACTTCAGATGGGTCTTAGTTCCGCCAAAGACATAGCGTGCTGATGATGCCACGGCCCACTCAGCGGCAAGCACCTTCAACACTGGAACCCAAATCTTTTAGGTCTACTTCGTCTAAAAGTTAATTAAATACTGAGTTGAAATCGAGCCATTTTGTCACAGAGAACAAACAGCTCTCCCCTGGACTCCCTTACAAAATAAATCGCTCGATATTAGAGGAGCCCTACCGGCGCGTCACGGTTGCCCTCGTAGAAGGTTTTGACCAATAAACATGCGACGAGCAACGCAGCCTAAAACTCGAAGAAGACGCAAATGGATCAGACAAAAAATCCCCCATGTAACAAAATAAAACAGGCTATGTTCTTCGACCACTTCACTGGGTGGAAGGGGTGGTAACGTTTGACCCGAGGAAACTAACAACTGTTTGACTACTGAAACAAGTGGACTAAAGTCAAATCTGATGACCATATTAAAAATGTTTTGCAGGTGCTGACATGATTCACAGGAGTATATATTTTATTTGATTGGAATCCAATTTGAATACATCCATAATTTGAGCGCTCTTCAAGATTCAAACAAAGATTAATTCAACACTTTGATGCGAAAGCCTCGCCAGAGGTGGTGCAGAGTAGCCGAATGTAACGGTATGGAGATTTTAAAAGCCAAACGGATGCCCATAGAAGCAATTTTGGGCCGGTGAAACAAGTAAAAATTGAGCAACGCGCTGCAAAAATACTCCCCAATCGACAATTATGTCGCTGGTGACTTCAAGCCTAATTTTCTTATGTGGACCTGAAGGGGCATGAAAAGGCTTTTCAGCAAAGGGCAAACGAGACCTTAATATTCGTGCCTGCTTGGATGACCTATAGTCTTTGATCAGACTAGTTACTAGCGTGTGTTAAAATTACGTCAGCGTGGGTGCATTTCTCAGGAAATGGCCGTTCGTCGGCTTTCTACCGTGAGCTTGAACAACAGGCCCGTAACTATAGGTATTTACAAGTCAAGTCCAAATGAAGTCTGTGCGGTTATTAAGTTGATTGCCTCGGTGTGAATCTGCAACATGCCGTTGTGGTCTCAAAAATAAACCTGCCATTCTCCCTCTACAGAATACGTTTCCATCAGTTTTTATTCGCAAGCAATGGTAAAAGATTCTTGGTTCTTTTACTCTCAAGGGGGATGTGTTTTGATTTTTATTAAAACAACTGTTCACGATCCAAGTGCTGTGCGTTTCTCAATTATAAACGAATAAATAAATTCTTTAAATACATTTAAGGTCACCTCGACAGCAAACAATTTGCAACTGCCCATTACTGACAATTTAGCTAAATTAAACAGGAAAAGTAATCCAAATATTTCATGACCACTTCCTTTCATGGCTTGCACCTGGTCCGGTTGTGTGCTTCCACTTTTCCTAAGTGGCATCAAGTATGTGATAGTAAATCGAAAATTGATATCTCCTATTAAAGATTGTCAATCTTTAGTAAGGTAAACAACAGGGCAAGGAAACGTTCTCCAGGGTGATGTTCGAATTCCAGGTCCCCTGTTTGAAAATAAGCCGCAGTTAATTGGCTTTTAGTGCCTTCTTAAAATATAACTGGGCATCCTCGAATCGCCCCAAAAGTTTCCCCTCAGATCAGTTGCACGACTGCTATACTACTCGGCGAGGGAAAAATAAGTCGAGAATAAATATTTTGACGACAAGAACTAAAAAAATTTGAAATGCATACCTTATCGATGTTTTAAACAAATTGGCATATTTACTATTCCTTTTAAGGCGGAAATGTTCAACTGATGTCTTGAATTATGTAGCAGTTGTTAACATCCTTGTTTGATGGATGATGATGGTTTTGTCTTAAGCGCACAACAGCTTTTGGTCCCTGCTTACAGGACGACGAATGCTACATCTCTGTGGTTCGCTGAATTTCGGTTTGTTCATATTTTAAAGGAAGATTTTGTTTGGCAACTCCTAGATGTCCAAAACAAAATCAAGTTTCTTTAAGTACAGAGGTAAAATTGCTTGCACTTACCCGACTCTTCTATAGAAAATCGTAAGTTTCGATCTCTGTTTTTGCTCTTGACCAGCAAAGATGTAAAGCCTTCCTTTGTCACCGCCGTCCACTGGTGATTCTTTATCTTGACTGCTTTCAGACTCGAGTGTCACGCTCCTTTCCAGCACGGCTTGAATTTGAGTTCGGATTCACGCGGCCTTTCCCCCTCGGTTTTATGCAGGTGAGCAATGGCCACTCCTTCCCCGCGGTGATTCGCCAAACCGTCGCAGATGACGCGAATTCTGCCGGCTAGTGCGCAGCTCAGTGTCCCCCACGCGGAGAGACAGTTGCAGCCTCGAGTGCCACAATACCACGCCAGTTCTTGTGGGTCGTGGCTCTTGCAATGATTTGTTGTTGCCTGCCTCTGGACATGCGTCATTAAGCTGTGACACTCTATGCACCCACTGTGCCTGGCTAATAGAATCTGTAGGACCATTAGGAACTGGCAACGTAAAGTAACGCACTTCCTGGATGTTCTCTCCGCTTTGAAAGTAATACACAAAAGACTCTTGTTTAACACGGATTGTGGGCATCATAGGTAAAGCGGATTTTTCAGTGTCAACAACTGTTTTCAAAATATAATTAGTAAACTTTCTTTTGGAGAGACGTATTTTGATGAGACGTAATTACATGCTGCAGTAGGTTACGTTTCCTTGTACAATGCCTACAGTGTACGGTAAATACAATGTCCAATGTAATGTTTCTATTTATCAACTCCTATCCCAGCGACATTAGAAGTTTTGCAAGCTCTAGAAAAGCATTTATTAAACTCTAGTGCCTCTGAAGTTCCGTTACAGGAAAGGCAAACAAAATATTTGACTACAGGTTAATCAATGTGTTTGCTAATCTTGTCTGTTCTTATCAACATTATGGAGATTTGGTGCTTGTAAGTTTATTACAATGCAGTAGGCCTATTCCCCAAATCGTGAGTTAGGTGGTCGTCAAGTTCACAGAAATTCGTTTGTAACCATAGCTGCCAGATAAACTTTATGTTATGGCCTTTTCTTTAAACTGTTTATTTATTTGAAACCTGAGCTCCGTAAAAAAGGGGGCTTTTGGCATTCTCTAGATTCTCTTTCGGCCATAATTCGACCTTTGGGATATCTTGTGTATAATAACGGCACAGTCTGGACAGTTTTGTCACATTCTGTTGCTTTCCGCTTAAGATATTCCCTGTATTTATCATGAACCAAAGTAAATAGCTTTGGTACAGCGTCATCGCCTTCTACCTGAAACAATATCAGACAAAACAGATGTTCGCTCAGTCTCGTTTAACTTGAAGACCACGACAACAGGAACGACTGAAGAAAGCCATCTACCTGTACAAACTGACGAGAATGACACACACAGGAAATTTGGCCTCTGATCAGTCCGCCTTGCCGTGACTACTCGCTGCGCAATGGCTGCACAAAATGCCACAGGTAATCTAGTCATTTATCAGGTTCACAAACTGCTGGTGAAGACGTCCCATGATGTACCACAAAGTTGGCCCTCTAAAAATGAAATGATGCAAAGTGTGAGAGGATAACGGAGACTCTCTTGTTTCCTTAAGCTCCAAAAACAAAGTGTAAGTTAATGCTCTCCAACGATATTTGGTAATTGAAACCAAGTAGCTTTTGCACATTATTGAGCAAAATGAAACATTTCATTTCTTTAAACCTTGTATAATTATACTTATAGAAAACCCCCGAGTAGTTCCAAGTTCTATCTACTATTGTCCGAGAAATGGACTGAAGAATCCGTTTTTACCCCAGGAATCTGTCCTATTTTTTGTTGTACACGCCATTGAGTTTAATTTATCAAAAAGTAAGTAAAATGTGACCACTTAATTAAGTAGGCCTACACTTAATCACGCGTCTCCCCTACAGACGCTGCACTGCATGCGCGTTACTCGTTCAAGATTACCACCGTGAGTGTGACCCAACCAACTGGGGATAATTTTGAAGATCTGATCTAGGCAAATCAGTGCACGACGTTAATTTCAATGGTATCTGCTTTTAATGGGATGCTATGAAGATTATTATCGTAAACTTGGAAAGTGACCAAGATTCAGACATGAATGCTCATTGCAGTGTGCTGTTCAATTGCCATTGCAATGTGTGGTGTACCTACACCGCATGTGGGGCTGGGGTCCAATTACAGAAAGCAGCAGATCTGGAATGGAGCATTTTCCTTAGTACATCCAGAATCTCGTAGTATCATGACGATTTTTATTGGTAGTTCGATCATGAGAAACTATAGCGCCACAATCTGTAACAGATTGATAATAGGCCCGCTTTTATAACTTCCAAGGAGTGAAGCTTATAAAAAACAAGCCTGCGGTGAGATTCATATCAAACAGAACAGTATCGATATGGTCTCGCCGGTCATACGGGTAAACTACAGTACAGAAAATTTAGAGTTCAGAGATATCAGGCAATGGGGCGAGTATGTGCCCAATAAAGTGAGCCGACTGATCCAAAACAGCTTCGGAAACCATTTCATTCAATTTGCCAAAAAGACGATTTATGTGGCAAGTTGCTACTGTTTTCATCATGTGGGCTGTGAATAGTGTGAACGGTAAATGAGAACTCCTCTCACGGTTATACAGAATCTCAAAGAAAGGATTAGGTGTATCGTAGGCCCTAGGCACTAGTCCTACATGGTCCCCACTCGGCCCGAAGCACCAGCAACAATTGTGTAGCGGCAAGGCTTTCTGTCTCATGTTGATGCTATGACGGCTAGCTGGTAATCCAGGAGGCTCTCAAATGTTCGTAGCCCCTAAATTTTCATATAGGCCTTAGGCACAGTGCCTACTGTGTCAGTTAGATAACCAGGCCCTAATAGTGACAGTAAAACATATTAGATTTTATAAATATGTTCACTTTCAGCGTACAGACTGAGGTGAGCTTCAATTTCTACCTGGTTAATCTGTTTATAGTCTTTCTGGGGTAAATGTACAATGTACATGCGCTGCGGATTGCCATAGCAACGCCCTCTTGTGACAGAGGTAGCGTAGCCAAACCTTCTTCCCACAGAGAAAGTGGTTGCATGGTTCATGCGCCTGGTGTTTCTCAATGAAACAGAAAGAGAATCGAGGAGTGCACGTTTTTAATCTTAAAATTAATTGTAGCTCCAATGTATGCACCGGAGAGGTATGGCTCCAATGTACAGAAACGAGCAGATCTGGCATGAGATCCACTACTGTCCATACACAGGGCAAAACGAAACGACAGAAACAGACTCCGATTTCACACATTTGTGCATAACACCCCAAAACTATACCGTCACGAGGGGTTACTTGGAGCCCTTTTTTACATGCATGTTATCGTTTCTTCTAAGTTAAAGACAATCAATTACAATTTCCCTTCTTTTCAGAGCTTTGTGATATAATGCTAAGATCTTGGGCGTTCATATCCAAAATGATCTAAAATGGGATTCACGCGAAAAATATATTTAAAAAACGTACCAATGGAAAACTCCATATGTTACGCGTATTGAAACGTTTTGGCCTTCTTTGTGTGGACTTACTTACCGTGTATGTCGGATACATCCGGCCCAACTGAATATTCAGCGCCAGTAGAATACATCCGGCCCCTGACTGAATATTCAGCGCCAGTATGGAGCGGAACATTGACAAAGCAACAAAAACAGCAAATTGAGCGAATCCAGAAACGAGCTCTGTGCATTGTGTTAGGACAAAGCTACACAAATTACCTCGAAGCTCTCTCCCAATGCTCCCTTTAATCCTTGGAGGACCACAGGTTATCACTTTGTTTCTCATTTATTGATAAGACCCTGAAACACACCGCCCAATTTCAAAATTATCTACCCCGCCGCACAGAACTCCAGAACCCTAAGATACACAGCCAATATACCGGAACTCTACTGTAAAACCAACAGGATGAAAACTAGTGCATTGCGTCACCTTGTTCGTTTATTAAATGCTGGCTGATATTTTTTTTTAATTTTTAGGTAATTATATAAACTTTCATACTTCTTTTCTCGTAATTTTAAAGGCAATATTAGAGGTTTTCCCCTAATCTTAAACGTTTTATATTGTGTAAGTAAATAGCACAACCTCTAGTAGTTTTAATGCGACGAATGATTTATGTTTATCTTTTTTACACATATAATACTAAATGTGTCCACTTTTTATGTAAGTTCAAATGCAATTCGGCCTAGTGCTGCGAGATTTGAATGTTTTAAATAAACCATTATGAATGAATGAATGGATATACTCATCTAAACTTCGATGCTGAAAAAAAAAGGAATTTCAAAATTTATTGGTGTCTTAGGGCTTAAAAAGTGGTGACCAAAATTACCTTGGGTTTGGGGCAACATTGGCCACCTTTTGTTTTAATCTTAATCAAAACGGGGCATGAAAAACAAAATAAAATTGGTTACCATGGTTACCACAAACAACGAAAAAGTTAAATAATGAATAACTATGATATTTCTGAATAAAATGATACTAAATACGTCCGCATCCACTGTACATTTGAGAGAATAACAACGTTTCAACCCTCTAGTGGTTACTGACCAAAGTTGCCCCTCTGACCAAAGCTACCCCATGTTAGGGTACGCCACACGCCCCTGGCTGTGACCAAGGGTAAGCCTCACATAGGTATACGGTACTAGCAACTTGCAATTAACACCCCTTACCTATAGTCTCAAATTCATTCTCCAAGCTTCTTTATCGCTGAGTTGAGCGGGAAGGTTGAATACCGAACGTCTTGTTGCTAACCATGCAATGCCTTGCCCTTATTCCAGATGAGCTAAGTAGGATAGGTTTTGTTTTAATTGTTTTGTTTTGGTCAGTCTTAGTTTTCTTCTGTAACCTTGTATTGCTCACGTAGATATGGCTTCATCCGAATCTGTTGACTAGAGCTAGGTCTAGGTCTTCCCACCATTGAAAATGTGCAGAGACACGTAGACAATAGACCTAGCCGTAGATCTGGAAGCCCATTTCGGACACGGCCTATAACTCCATCACAAAGCCACAACTGGCAAACGTGCAAAATAATTAGAATGTTTGGTTAATATTTGCCAATGTAATTGAGTGAACGCTTTAAGCTCAGTGTTTTCTTGTAGGGGAAAACAGCAGGCTTGCGTTGCTCAGGCGAGACTCGAACCTCCTCCTCCTAACTGTTGGAGCGTCCAACTGCTTGACCATCGGGCACGTTGAGAAAACTAGCCCGTTCAGTATAAGGTGGT